TACAAATGCGCTTTACACAATTGATGTGTGTATGGATTGGGATAACAGTTGTATGAGCCCCTAATAAAATGTTAAAAAAAAAGAAAAAAAAGAATGAAAGGCTTGTATGAATTGTGGTAAGAGTTGTACAAGCCCCCAATAAAATGATTTATTAAAAAAAGAATGAAGGGCTTAACGCTCAGAGGTTTACATATATTTATCTCCCCATGGTTGTACAGACAGATGACATCGTCAGAATATCAATCTAACTCTGCCTTGATGGTGTCGTAGTTAAGAGTTGGGCTGCAATCTTCAATGTCTGAAGCTCAAAACTGCCAGGCACTTGTGGAGAAAGATAGGGCTTTCTACTTCCCCAGCAAGTGAGTTTTGGAAACTCACAGGGGCAGATGAAACCTGTCCTATAGGGTCGCTATGAGTCAGCATTGACCCAATAGCAATTGAGTTTGGGTGTGTTGTTGTTATTGTTTTGTGGTATAATGGGTTACGTGTTGGACTACTAACCATAGATGTGCAGTTCAAAACCACTAGCCGCTCCTCAGGAGAAAGAGGAGGCTTTATACTTCTGTAACAATTTACAGTCTCAGGGACTGTAAAGGGAACTGAGTGTTTGGGGGCAGGGGTGGCTTACAGTGTGATGCCTCTGGGGCAATTAATTGGGGAAGTTGGGTTACTGACCCACAGAAGTGGAGTGAATGCGTTTGGGCTGAGGCTTACTGGAGTAGGGGGCCTTGGGGCACTTAATTCAGGAAGTGAGGTTTGCTGGCCCATAGAGGAATGTCTTCCAGTTGAGGTTTACAGTGGAGTGGTACGCCGGGCCTTTGGCATTTATTAAAAGAGCTGAAAGAGCATTGTAAAAGGTCCTGATAAACAACTCAAACTGGAGCATTTCTTACTGGCATTACAACGTGATAATTTCTTCAATAGACCCTTGTGTGGCTATTTCAGTGGATATTACATAGCAGAGAGATCAAGTGAGGAATATGAAGAAAATACAAAGTCTTCTTAAACCAAACCGTGGTTTAGCTTAGCAAAGAATATGCCTTGCGCAACATGTTCTTTCAAGATCTACCCGTATGGAATCACACTGAAAACAGCAGCTTAAAAGATCTGACAGCAACTTAGGAGTAAAGTAAGCTTATGTTAATGGGGGTGCTAAAACAGAGAGAAGGAGGGCAAGAGTGATTGAACAATTCAAAGCCTAATCTGCCCCGCTACATGTACATGCAGAAATTGTTGAGGTGGTGTTTGTGCTACGATACATAGTCTCAACAGTTAGATCACAGGTTGTCAGCAAAATCAAAGGGACATCACAGAGGAGCACTAACCTGGTCTTAAGCATCAGGTAAGGTCATGACTAAACCAAGATTTGATTTTTAAATAAAGGGAAAGAGCATAAACTAACTCAACTACAGGACGCCCAGTTCGAGGAGTCAATGGAAGGCCTGGCTTAGAATCAAAGGAACCGAGAGTGAGGGCAGAGTGAGGGCACTAGTACTGATGACTCAGGGCAGGGCCTGAGATAAGGACCTTGATTCCGGGAGGACTCCTTTCCTTCTGGCTACTGAATAGAATACAGCTGTAGGTGGAGCAGAGCAATGCGACTAGGTAGACCAATTAGGTTTAGGGCACAGTAGAATCTGGGCGGCACTATTGGGTTAACTTTGGACTAAGCGAGATCAGAGGCCTAAACCCACCAGTCACTCCACAGGAGAAAAATGGGGGCATTTACGGGTAACTGGTGAGTTTGAAATGCTGACCTTGTGATTAGGAGATCAACTGCTGAATATATAGACCCTGAGCTGAGGAGAGGTATTGCTTGCAGCTATAAAGCCATTGAATAATAATGCCTTTCCTTTTGACAGATGAGTAGGCAGTAACCGGAGTCCAGAGTCTGAATGGCATTCTTAGACCAGAAAGCGCACATTTAGAAGCTAGGAGGGAGCCTTGGACCGGAAGCGTTATTGCAACTTTCTACAGCACCACTGGGGCACTGGGCAACGTCTTCTGGCATTTTAGTCCTTTGTGGACACTCCTTACCTCCCAACCCGTTTCTAAACCACTTCATGGCCAGGTCAAAGTTGATCCGCCTGCCTTTTCCCCAAAGCCACAAACAGTGGAAGGATTTTCAATTGTTTCTGTCCAGGTCACAGCCTCCCGGGCGGTGGGAGGGCTGTGCCACCTCTTCCCTTCCTCGGAGCTGCACCTATTCGGAACTGCACTGACTTTGAACCAGGGCGCTGCGCCACCACTTCCTCCAGGGAGGTGCCCGGATGTGGGATAAGCCTCCTTCCCAAAGCTTCTCCGGAGTCAAATGGGGGGAGAGGGGACGCTGGAGGGGGTGGTGTGAAATGGGAAGGGTGGACTCTACACTGTAGAGGCAAGGAATGGGAAATGTGGAGGAGGGTGGGGGGGATTCTGCAGGCACTGCCCGGTGGATACGTGGGACCACAAGGGCGTAAGCTCCGCATTAATATTAATCGGTCCATCTGTAGTGGCCTTGGAGCACGCGGGGCAGTGTAAGTAGCCCCAGTGGCGACCTCTGCCCGCAGGCCCCTTCCCCAGCCAGGACCACCCACCGACCCACGCACGGCGGCCGCTGGCGGGGACCCCGCCGCCCAGGCCCCTAATGCACGAGCCAGCACAAGGGCCCGAGCTTGATTCGGTCCACTCTGCTCTCACCTTGCGTAGCAGGGCGATTAGGTCCCTGGGTTCCCACACAGCTGATGTTTCCGCAGGGCGACGGGTTGCCGGGGACAGGAAGTCAGCCGCCCAAGGCACCGCCCACGGGGCGTGAACCTCTCAGTAGCCCCGCCCCGCCCTCCGCCCAGCTCCGGCCGGCGGTCCTTGCAAGGTTCTGGCTCTGCCCTGCCACCCGCTCTTCTGCTCGCCACCACCGCTGCCAGCGGGTACATGCACACTCGTCACGACCGACCCCGCTGAGCAGCGGTTCTCAACCGGGGGTCGCGACCCCTTTGGGGGGGGTAAACGACCCTTTCACAGGGGTCGCCCGATTCATAACAGTAGCAAATTTACAGTTAGGAAATAGCAACGAGAAGCATTTTATGTGCTGTATGAAAGGGTGTGAAACTATGAAAGGGTCGAGGCGTGAGGAAGGTTGAGATTTTATGGTGGGGGGGCCCCCACCACATGAACTGTATGAAAGGGTCGAGGCGTGAGGAAGGTTGAGAACCACTGCAGGCGCAGAGGCTTTTGAAGAATAAATCTTTTTTTTTTACATTTTATTAGGGGTTCATACAACTGTTATCCCAATCCATACACACATCAATTGTGTAAAGCGCATTTGTACATCGTTTCTCAAAACATTTTCTCTCCATT